AGAAGGTCTCCTAGGCAAAAACTTAAGGGGTAAACAGATTCTATCTGTTGACCAGTCTCGCACCCCTCGCATCTTTTAGGCTGGCGCAGATGTATTTTTAATACATTGTTTCCAGTTTAGGATGTTGAACGCTGGATCTTCTTGACTCGATGCATGGGTTTTGCTTGAGTCTCTGTTTTTATGACTAGGCAACTCATTCTATTATCTCCAAATAAGGGTACAGCTCTAAAACTCAGTTTTATGGTTCTGAGGCCGGCTGGTATCCAGGTTTCCCGAACTCTGTTGTAGCTCTCAGAGAGGCTGATTCCAACAACAGCTGAAAAATATCATAGTATTAACAGTGCCATGTTGCGCATGGATGGTGTCTCTGTTTGTACTTTTGGTGTGCATTGCCAAGGCCACATTGGAGCCCTTTGTTACGGCTACGGGTTTTTTAGTGGAAATGAGGCAATTGCTTAGGCAATAAAACAGTGTTCTGAGAACTATCTATGTTTCGAGTCAAGTTCTTTAACAAATTTAAAAATGAATAAAGTAACAAAAACTATAAAACACAAAAAACCACAGTCATCACCAAGTTCGCTAAACCTATCATTCACCAATATTCATGGTCTTCGAAGTAACTTTTCTTCTGTTGAGTCTTATCTCTTGCAAAGTTCACCAGACCTACTTGCTCTTTGTGAGACTAATTTGAGTTCTTCTGTCTCATCTTGAGATCTTAGTGTTGATGGTTACCTTCCTTTAATTCGTAAAAACTTTAATAGTCACATGCTTGGCCTGGGCATTTACATTCGTAAGAATTCACCTATTTGTCGGGAAACTAGGTTTGAATCCACAGACTACTCTTTTATGTGCTTTCGTTTAACACCACTTCACTCTATCACCTTTCTCTTTGTTCTATATCGCTCTCCTTCATCTCAAGGCTGCACTCTTTTTGTTATTTCTGATCATATTGACTATGCCATCTCTCTTTATCCATCAGCCAATATTGTTGTTGTCGGTGACTTTAATGCTCATCACACTGAATGGTTTGGCTCTAGTGTCAGTGACTCTGCAGGCATTAAACCCTACAACTTTTTTCCTTTCTTAATCTTTAACTCAAATAGTCAACTTTCCAACTCGCTTTCCAGACAACCCGAATCATTTACTTTCTCTACTCAACTTATGTCTTGTTTCTGATCCTAGTCAGTGCTCAGTTTCTCCACACTCACCCTTAGGTGCTTCTGATTATGGTTTGGTCTCTCTAAAACTATTATCTCATTCTTCTTTACCATCAGAATCCCCCTATTATCGAACATCTTACAACTACCTTAAAGCTGAATGGGACTCTTTCCGTGATTTTCTTCGTGATGGCCCCTGGATCAAAATCTTTCATCTTCTTGTTGACAAATGTGCTTCTTACATAACTTCATGGATTCAGGCTGGTATGAAATCCTTTATTCCCTCTCGACGATTCCAGGTCAAGCCTCACTCCTCTCCATGGTTTTCCTCATATTGTGCTGCTGCAGTTGCCAATCGAAACCATTACTTCCATATCTATCAGCAAAACAATTCTCCAGAAAACAGACGTCTGTTTATTAATGCTAGGAACCATTGTAAAAAGGTTCTGTCTAACGCCGAAGCCCGCTATTCTCAGACCATGAAATCTTGTATTTCATTGCAAAAATTAGGCTCTCGTGACTTCTGGAGAATCTTTAATAGTATCATTAACAAGGGCAAGTCTGTAATTCCATCTCTTTTTTATGGTTCAGACTTTGTCACCTCACCTAAAGACAAAGCTGAATTGTTTGCCAAGAACTTTTCATCAATATCATCTCTTGATTCCACTAGTTGCGTTCTACCTGATATAGCCATCAAACAGGTTGATCCATTGCTCGACATCTGTATCATTCCAGCTTCTGTATCTAAAGTGATTTCCTGTTTAGACTCTTCTACAGCTTGCGGCCCAGATAACATACTCGTTATAGTCTTGCAGAAGTGTTCTCCGGAGCTGTCGTCTATCCTTTCAAAACTATTTAACAAATGCTTATCAGAGTTTTGTTTTCCAGCCTGCTGGAAAGCAGCATTTGTTCTCCCTATTTTCAAAAATTCTGGAGAGCGATCTGATTCGTCTAATTACCGTCCCTCTAGTCTTCTTCCTATCATAAGCAAGGTATTTGAATCTTTAATTAACAAACACTTAATCTCTCATCTCGAATCTCATAACCTACTTTCTGATCATCAATATGGATTTCGATCCTCTCGTTCTACAGCTGATTTACTATCAGTAATAACCGATAGGTTTTATCGCGCATTAGATAAAGGTGGAGAGGCTAAGGCCATCGCTATTGATATTTCTAAAGCGTTTGATAAAGTTTGGCATACTGGTCTTCTCCATAAGCTTTCCTTCTACGGTGTATCTGGAAACACCTTTAAGATTATTGAGTCCTTCCTTTCCAATCGTAGTATAAAAGTTGTCCTCGATGGACAGCACTCTTCTTCTTATTCTGTAACCTCAGGGGTTCCTCAAGGTTCAATCCTTGGCCCTATATTTTTTTTAATTTACATTAACGTTCTTTCAGATATTCTCACATCTAAGGTGGCATTGTTCGCTGATGATACTACCATTTATTCTTGTCACGATAAGAAGCCAACTCCCACTGATTGCTTGCAGAGGGCATCTGAGCTTGAAAAGGATCTCACCTCTGCTACAGCATGGGGCTCACAGTGGCTGGTGAACTTTAATTCAGATAAAACTCAATTTTTTTCAGCCAATCATTATTGCAATAATTTAGACCTTCCTATATTTATGAATGGTAATGTACTCAATGAGTCTCCTACCATTCATCTTCTAGGATTAACTCTTACTTCTGATCTTTCTCGGAAACCTTATATCAAAGCCGTTGTAAAACTAGCATCTGCTAAAGTTGCTTCTCTTTATCGAGCTCGTCACTTTCTTACTCTGGGTTCTATTCTCTATCTCTACAAATCTCAAATCCGGCCTGTTATGGAATACTGTTGTCATATCTGAGGCGGATCTTCTAATGATGCCCTTTCTCTTTTAAACAAGGTGCAAAAAGGCATTGTAAACATAATTGGACCTGCTCTTGCAGCCAACCTTCAACCTCTGTAACATCGTCATAATGTTGCTTCTCTTTCAATTTTCTATAAATACTATAATGGGCACTGCTCTAAAGAGCTAGCGTCTCTTGTGCCATCTACTAAAGTTCATTCTCGTGTTACTCGTCATTCAATTAAGTCTCATCCTTTTTCTGTTACTGTTCCTAAGTGCTCCAAAAACTCTTACTCGTCTAGTTTTTTTCCTCGAATATCAGTTCTTTGGAATTCGCTTCCTTCATCTTGCTTTCCTGATTCATATAATTTGCAATCTTTTTTTTTTTTTGTCAATCGTTATCTTGCTCTACAATCTTCATATTTTCTCTTCCAGTAAAATTCAACACTAATTAGTGGTTGCTTGCAGCCTCGTTAGAAGCGAAGATGTTTAAAATTATATATATATATATATATATATATATATATATATATATATATATATATATATATATATATATATATATATATATATATACACCTACACGCACATAGACCCACATAACACACAAGTACATAACATAACCGCACATTATTTGTGTTGAAAATGAGATAAAGAACTCTTGTTTTCTTTACAATCCTAGTGTGGAAGCCAAGTTTTGAAAGATACCATAATGCTTCTTTCACTCTCTGTTTGTTTGTTAGAGAATCTCCACGAATTTTAGCATTAACACCAAAAATGTGATGTACTTTCTAAGAAACGTGAACTTTGATTATTACAGTTTATAGTTAGTGGCGTAACTTCAAATTCCGCTCCTCCTCCTCAACGTAAAATTTTTTAAACTTCCCTCCTCCCTTTCCTCATAACAACAGTCGATAGACAATAATTTTATATTTTTAATTCGACTCACCTTTAAGGAATATGTTTTAAATTTTAATGATTTTAATTTTTGATATTTTATTTTAATTTAATTTTATTATTAATTTGCAATGTTATGCCAAAACGAAAAATTGTTTTCAATTTGCTTTAAAATGGATTAAATATTATAAATAAAATTGAAAATGTTACTAAATTTTGTTTCATTCAATGTTATGAACTCATATATCAGCAACAAGTTTGTATTTAGTAGTAGTACAGTACAGATGAGTATTCTAAAACAAGTTACCCTTACGACGACTCTTTATCTCTTCAAATTTATTAATGGTCTCATTCAAAAGTTTAACTGAATGAGATTAATAGAAATGATTGACTGAAACTTTTTCTAAAACATTGAAATTAAAGCAAAATCAAGAAGATAATGATTGTCCATAAAAACACACAATGCTAAATTTCAATAATTAACAAACCAAAAAAAGATTTTTTTAAAGAAAATGACCTTCATTTATTATTTTTATTTATTATTCTTTATTTTTTATTATTTACCTTATGTGTTTTTTTTATTATTATTCTTTGTTTTATATCGTTTATTTATTATTATTTTATTTTATATATTTTTTTCATTTTTCTTTATCCAATATAATATCTTGATTGTATAACTAACTGCAGTACCACCTGCAAGTATATTGTATACAAATTTTACAAACGTGAATTTATAAATATCCCTAAGCTAAAAATTAATTATAAATCCATCCTCCAACATAAAGCTACAACATTAACACAGTCATAATAACAAACGTCTATACAAAAGAAATATACGTTTTCAATCATTATTATTTTAACACACTGAGAAGCAACTGCATGCCGTTCTTAGAGTTAAAGCTTTACTATTCCCTCGTTTTTCTCATTTATGAGAAATTACTTAGCACTTTGAAGAGATGATAGTGAGCTTTTGTGAACACGAAAGTAATCGCTTAAACTGTTATTCCCTTAAGTTTAATTACTCCTAAAACGAAGAATAAAAGCCATTGCTTTTCCTATATACACAACTCGACATTTCTTACCCGGACTAAAATGTATTAATATATGTGGGGTTTGCCTTTCAGTATACGATCGAAAAGGCAACCCCCACAATATACTTGTTTTGCAAAAAGGGAATCCCCAGAATGTTTATTTTCTTTTTCCACGTAGTATACTTGTTCCCAGTTTTTTATTACGGAAGTTTAAAACATACGAAACCTTTTGTTAAATCACCCGGAAGAAAAGTAGTAGTACCTGTGGTACCTAACCTAAATTTAAGTGTACCTTCTTAAAAATGGCTCAACCACCTACCATTCATAAAGGCATTGTAAAGTCGGTTAGTATTTCCAAACTTAGGTACTTTTCAAGATTTTTCTGTCTTTTTGAGTAAGATTATTGTCAAATAAGATTTCAACTCATTTCATTCATTATAATTCATGAACATAATAATATAAAAATATACAAATAATAAAGTTTATTTTAAATTCAAAACGTAAATAAAATATCCGAAGAAATGTACATATATAAAAAATGGTATGAAATAGTATAAGTTAAATGGTTCACTCTTTTTTGTACAAATTGATTTTTTATACAAATGCATACCCATGTATGCATTTGTATAAAAAATCATATAAAATTTTTCACACGATTTTAATATTTTACCAAAATTTTAGGTTCTATCAGGTGATAGTGTCATAATTCGTGGTCAACCAAAAGGTGGACCTCCTCCTGAAAGACAGCTTGCTCTTTCTAATGTAGTTGCACCACGTTTATCAAAACGTCCCGGAGGAAATGTTGAAACAGCAGCTGATGAGGTAAATCAACAATTGATTAAGCATAGAAAATAATCTTGAAAATATATTAAATAAATCTTTCTTTTTTAAATAAAAATGCTAATGTTATGGTTTTGGAACTTATATGAAATTCAAATATAATATTCACTTTGCTAATGAAGATTATTCAACATTTGGGTCGAGTTCTTTTATAAAAGTTTTAGATTATAATAAAATATTAGTACCATGATTTGTTAGGTGTTACCAATTAGGTATATTGATTCATAGCCATATGCCTGGGAAAGTCGTGAATTTCTTAGGAAGAAACTTATTGGAAAAGAGATTGAATTTTTTATTGAATATAAAGTACCTGGATCCGGAAGAGAATATGGTTGTATATTTTTGAAATCAAGTAAGTTAAAAGTTTTTTATAATTTTTTTTTTTTTGGTTTTTAGATTAGCAGATAAATAATTCATAAATTTAAAAATGCATGGTTAAAAAAAATCTTTGCTTTAACAGAATATAATTATTTAAATTCTCATATTTAGATTAGTTAAAGTTCTATAGAATAGTATGACATTAAAAAAAAAATGTTTCTGCTATCTTTGATTAACTTGGAGAAAGTTTAGGGAATCCATTCAACTAAGTTGGAAGAAAATGTAAAAGACATTGAGTCACATAAAATACTATGGTCACCAAACTAACAGTTTTGAAATACACATACAAACACACACACATACACATATATATCATTATAAATAAGTACTTGTCATTTATTGTTATTTTATTGATATCCATAAATGCTAAAGTCTTTTCGCGTTTGCCCACACACATACAAAACTTTAACGAGCGCATAAAAATGCGCTTGCCAAAAATATAAAAGCATTTTGTTTTAGATTGCATTAAAAAAATTTTGATTTTTTGTTCATCTTTTATAAAAAATGGCTTATTTTACCAGTTTTTTTTTTTAACTATTTCATGTATTTATTCACAGCATTCTTTTCGCTATTATTATTTAAATAGCAGGAAAAAATGAATTTTTTAAATTGTGCAGATTAACTTAAAAATGACCAGCCTGCCAGCACTTTTTTGTGCGCTGGCATTAAATTTAAAATGGAGAGAAGACTGATGTGTGTGTGTGTGTGTGTGTGTGTGTGTGTGTGTGTGTGTGTGTGTGTGTGTGTGTGTGTAACACTTTTTAGTACATAATTTTTAACATGTACACTAATGATTACCTCAGGCTCTGGTGAGTTGCAAAGTATTACTGAAGAACTTGTTTCAGAAGGTTTGGTTGAAGTTCGTCGTGGAGGAATTAAACCATCTGAGTGAGATTTTATTTCCTTTATGCAATTAATTTTATTTTATAAAGGGTAACAATCTGTTTAAATTTTTTTTTTTTAGTGACCAAACAAAATTAATTGAGTTGGAAGACCAAGCAAAAGCTGCAAAGAAAGGAAAATGGTCAGGTGAAACTACAGTAAGTTTTATTTCTTAAAATAATCAAGTTCTTGAAGTGAATTTTTAAAATTGAAAATTGTTTTAAAATTGGTTAAGAAACTCATTTTGTTTTATAAACATAATTTTTTTTTTTGATTTACTTGATTAACTATCAGGGTGTTAATGAGTGTTTACTTCTGTAAATAAGTTTGATTTGTAGAAACTGTATCTGGAATTATAACCTGTAATATGTAACTTAAAGCAGCTCTTGGAATTAAGAATATATTATATTAGGATGTTGCCAATAAATTACTGACTTTAAATTGATTTTTTGCTGACCTTAGGTTGGCATTGCTGAATACAGACCTTTTACAGACCTTAGTTTTGAGGACTGTTAAAGTATATGTAGCTTAACTCTTACTATTTTTACAAAACTTTTTTCTCAAGGAGAACAAGTCATTGAATGAGATGGAAATCATTTAGAAAAATGTTCTGTTTTGAATTTTATTTTTAGGAGCATGTTAGAAATATCACATGGAATATTGAAAATCCTAGACTTTTTGTAGACCAAAAGAAAGGCAAACCAATAAACGGTATACTATTGATAGTTAAAATTAAAATACATTCTCATTATATCAATACATATATTGTTATTTTGATTGACTTATATCTTCTTTTGATTGGCTTGAATATTTGTTTGATTGACTTATGTTTCTTTAATTGATTAGTATGTTTGTTTGATTGATTATATTTATTTACTTTATAAAACCCGCTATTGAAAAGATTACTTTACAAATTTTAATTTTTAATAAAATCTTTTAAATAATAATAATTTTTACTTAAATTTTTGGATTTTTAGTACTACGACATACATTTGTTCCAATAAAAATTGAAATTTTACAAAATTGTAGTTAAGACAAATTATATCAAATGTCAACCATTTGCAACACCAAAGAAAAATATTTACAAAGTTTGTGGAGTTTTAGGTCAACACTTAAATTATATAACTAAAATGTAGAATTTTAAGTCAACATACAAATTATATAACTTGAGTGTGGAATCAGAATTAGCTTGATTAAAAACATAAATTAATGTTGTTTTAAATATGTCTATTGTATATGACATCAAAAATATATAATTTCTTTTATATTTTAAGTTGTTTACTAATTTTACTGAATCTCAGAAGTTGGGTTCTATAGACTAATGGAAAATTTTTAACAGTGCTATTAACAAAGTCTAGCATTCCACCTCTTATCTTATTGCCTCTCCCAAGAATAAAGACAAACCTTTTTTTTTAAGAATTCATCTCTAATGACCACACTCTTTCTGTTATCCCAAAGAATCAAGGTAATCGATTGTAAGACATCTAAATTATTCAGGCTTCCATCACATCTTTAACTAACAAACTTCTAATATATCATCTTGATTCTATTAACTTACTCTCTGATAATCATTATCTATTGTGATCCTTTCATTTTACTACTGATATGTTAACTATTATAATTAACATATCAGTAGTAGCAGTATTAGTAACTGTTATAGTTAACATATCAGTACCACTTATGACAGGTTAACTGTTACAGAAAAGTTTTACTATGCATTAGAAGCATCATAAAAAGAAGTGTTAAGGCAAGGGCTATTGTTCTTGACATAAAAAAGAATTCACAGTACGAATGTTTTCTATGATGGACAACTCTCTTCTTTAATCCTTGTAATTTCTGGACCGAAGAAACAAAAAAGTTTGAATCTCTGTCCCATAGTTGTGTCTATTTTTTATTTTTGACAAGTACTACCGTTTTTGTTGCTTATACCAGCTGTCATGAACCAAAACTCTAGCCATGAACCAAAACTCTAACTTGTCATATATATATATATATATATATATATATATATATATATATATATATATATATATATATATATATATATATATATATATATATATATATAATGCTGTTGTTATTAACACTTTGACTTTTACATTGAGTTATTAGAAAATCTACACCTTTTAATTCTTGGTTTATTTAATTCTATTTCATTCATAAAATATATTAAAACATTAATGTCAAAACCATACTTTTGAATAATTTTTTTTTATCTCTTTTACAGTTAAAAGAAAATTTTCAATTTTAGTTGTAACTTTTTCCATAAGTAAATTTGAATGAATTAAAATAAATCTTTTTAACAGTTGTTTAATTTAAAAGTTTCCTCATATTTTTAAAAGGATTTTATTTAAGACCCAATTAAATGATTAAAAAAAGTTTTTTTTTTATTTTTGTACAATCCGTCATGTTTTTGTTTTTAATTATCTGTTTTTTATTTTATTCTCTAATTTTTTAAATTATTCAATAATAATAAAGTGCTAAGACAGGAGCAGATACTCCTGCGGAACCTGACTTGTTATGACAACCAAATTTTAGTTTAAATATTTTATAAAATAATAAAATATAATTATAAAATAAAATATTTCTTAATAATTACATTTTAAAGTCTTTTTCTTTATCTATTAAATATTTCAAATAAGTGTTGTGCATTGATTCTAACAGAGTTGTTTTAATTGTTCTAACTTGTTCCTTTAGTTTCAGCGCTATTTGTAAAGAAGTTTTTTACCAGCTCTAATTTTAGTTTATGAACATGTGTTGTTAATGTTCTATTACTAGTTACTGCTTGTTGATCAAAGTTGTACAATTTTAATATATTTAATGTATGTCTCTAACTTTGAAATTCCAAGTTTATCAAGTCTATTTTGTTACTTGCATAATAATGGTGATAACCTTGTTACTTGCCTTTGTACATTTCCTAATTCTTTAAGATTGCCAACATGATATGGGGGCCACAACTGCTTATTTCAGCACTGGTCTGATGAATGTATAAAAATTTCACCATTAATGTACTTAAAAATGTACCATAATTAACCTGTTATTTCCATTTTAAATTATTTGGCAACATAATGCTCAGGTCCTTCTCACAGTTGATGCAATAAGTTAGACTGAACCATCTTTTATTGTTATTATGTAGTTTAAGTCATTATTGTTTTTGCCAAAATATATAACTTTACATTTTACGTAATTTAATTCCATCAACCATCCATTACACCACTGAACCACCAGATTAATACTATTTTAAAAAGTGTAATAATCATTTAAATTATTTATTTCAGTAATAATTTTGGTATCATCAGCATATACAAGACTCGAATTAAGTGTAATATTTTGTACATTGAGTGTAATCTGGTAATATTTCTTGTTTTCAAACACTTAATAAACGGTCAATTTATCATATTGAAATAAATTAATAAAAGAATAAAACAATACATTTACTACTGAAAAAATAATTAAGTCAAAACATATATTAAATCATTGTTTGTTTAAACACCTGCAGCCGTATTCTCATCTCTCTGTTAAGCTTAACGGAGTTTTTGTCTGAAATTTCATTACAATATATCTAAGTAAAGAAATGACAAAAATCTTATTTAAATTTTTTAAAATAAAACTAATACTAAAATAAAATATTTATTTTTAAAAATTTATATTTTCAAAGAACTTTTTTATTAATATCTTTAAAAAGAAATTTTTTACTATTGCTTCGTTAAGCTTAACGGAGAGATGAGAATACGGCCCCAGGTAATTTAGGCATTTTAAATTTTAAAAAAAAAACTATAAAAAAAAAATAAATACTAAAAGTCTGAAAAATTTTATATCATAATTTCAAGATCAAAGTATTAATGATTGAGTTTAATCATAATAGAAGAGTTAACAGTTTTTAAAAAACTAAAAAATGTAAAGACCAGAAATATTTCCAGATATCGCAATTTGTGAGCACTTAGTTCGAACCTGGATATAATTTACTTTGGTTTTGCAGTATTTCCCATAAGTCATTAATAAAAATTATAAATATTAATGGCTTGAAACGCTTTTTTTTTTTTGTTTAGGGTTTTTACTTTTATTTAAGGATTTTTTTTCTTCCATATTTAAGATAAATTATTGTTATTATCTTGTTAAATGTTTTTTTTTTCAATTTTCAAATGAATTATTGTTATTATTGTTACATCTTTTTATATTGCATTTTTTGTTGTTCCTTTGTGTTTAGATTGTGTTTATTGGTGTATTATTGGTTTATATCTTAGCTATGTTTTATGTTGTTACTTTGTGTTTAGATTGTGTTTATTGGTGTATTATTGGTTTATATCTTAGCTATGTTTTATGTTGTTATTTTGTGTTTAGATTGTGTTTATTGGTGTATTATTTGTGTTTAGATTGTGTTTATTGGTGTTTATTGGTTTATATATTAGCTATGTTTTATGTTTAAATCTTTTTTGATATAAGTTTACTACATTTTTTTTTAATGATGAACTTATTGCTGACTATGATATGTGAATATGTTTTTCTTCTTAGTTTTTTTTTTTTTAACCATTTATTTTTCTTAGTTTGTATATTTATCCTTCTTGATATAACTTTTTCTTAAGTATTTCATATTTCACTGTGGTTATTGTTCAGTCTAGTTTAAGCAACAGATTTTTTGCATCATATTTAGCATAATTATTAAGTTTAACAATATATCTTATAGCTGTGATTGAAATGGTAAGAGATGGTAGCACTATTCGGGCATTTTTACTTCCTACTTTTGAATATGTTACTGTTTCAATAACTGGAATTAAGGTAATTATTTATACTTTTGCCATTTTTAAACTCTTAAATATATACTATAAAAAGATACTTTTTACAAAATGTTGTTGTTACATTAAAATTTATATTTTCACTTTTTTAATTTCTTAGCCTGATTATAAAAAAGCTATAAAGATTTTTTTAAATTTTGACAAAATACTTATAAATGAATTTTTAAAATTTGACAAAATAATAAGAATGTTCAACAATAAAATAAAGCAATAGACGTGAATTAAGATCCAAGTTTTCATACTTTGAAACAGAACATTTGCAATTGTTTACTTCTATTGATTTTTTCATCACTGAAATTTGTGTAAAAGTTTATCAGTGGCATACATATGTTGTGTGCCACCAATTATAGAGCGTTACTAGTTCTGAAATCCTAATCTTAGTGTGTACATTTTACCAAATTATGCTAGTTATTTTCCTTTGATAATCTTATAAAATAGGTATAACTTTGTGTAACTTTTCCTGGCTTGTAACCTTACTTCTATTTAGTTGCAAACAACTGAAATTGAAGTTTTTTTTTTTGAAGTTTTTTTCTTAAATAAATAAAGCCCTATTTTAAAAATTTCACATTTACAGGCTTCGACAGGAATGGTGTGCAATTGAACGCTATTGCTGACCATGCAAATGATTTTTTTTGTTGATTACTCGAACACGACTTTTTTGATGATTTAAACATTTCAAAAATGTGACGAAAAAAGAAGTCCTAAGCTAAACTTAAACTAGGAAAAAAATTTAAAAAAACTAAAAAAAAAAGAAATCAATTCCTTACAAAAAAGAAAATATATAAGCATTAAAATCAAACTCAAAGTAAAAAATACTTTTTTGTTTTTAATTGCATTTGAAATGTATTACTTTAAAACTTATATTTTTAAACATTTTATTAAAGTTATGAAAAACGCTTTTACAAATTACTTAATTGTTGTTTAATAAATGAACAAATTTGTTTTTAATTTACTGAAAAGTCTAAGTTATTGAAAACAAAAATATATTTTATTTTTAAATTGTATAAACATTTTTTTCAAAAAGTTGCCAAAAAAAATATTGTTTAAAAAAATAGACAGTCTTTTTAAACTAGTTATTTTTAATTTTTTCGTGCTCTGATTAGTAAGTCAAGTTTAAAAAAAATAACTTTTTAACAATTCTTTGTAAAAATAGAAACAAAAAAATAAAAATAAAGCAATTACCCATTGAAATAGGAAGATTTAATTTAACTTTAGAGTAACTTAAATAATCTTTTAAAAGATTTTTAGAAAGACATGGAAAAATAGTTTTAAATGTTTAAATTTATTATTAAAAATACATGCTAACTAAAAAAAAATTAAATATAAGATTTAATTAACACAAAATTTTTAATTTAAAAAAATTTAAACAAAATTTTAAACGATCATTGTTATTAATTTATTTTATTTGAAGCTTTTGCATAAAATAAAAACTTTTAAAAAGATCAATGATTAAAAATTATTTATAATGTAACAATTTTTTTATTGCTTTCACACATCAGTTACAGTGTGCAATCACACACCATTCCTGTCCAAGTCTACATTTAATTTTTACTAAATACTGTAGTTACTGTAACTTCCTGCTTACAAAAAATGCAGAAATTAAAAATAAATTAAAACAATTCCAAAAAATTGTGAAGATTTTTTTATTCTTTCTGGTGATCCTACAAAAAGAGAAACTGGCAGTAACAGATAAAAGGTTTAATAAGTGTTTGTTTTTTACTAATATATAAATTATATGTTTATTTAGTGTCCACAATTTAAACGTGAGGGTGATGAAGAAGTAGCAGAGCCATATGCGATGGAAGCAAAATACTTCACAGATTGTCGATTGCTGCAAAGAGAAATTCAAATTATTTTTGAAGGAGTTTCTAATCAAAATTTGTTAGGCACTATCATTCATCCAGCAGGAAATATTGCTGAGTTACTATTAAGTGAAGGATTTGCAAAGTGTGTTGATTGGAGCATGGGTGTGCTAACAGTTGGTCACGAGAAGTATAGGCAAGCTGAAAAGTGAGCAAAATTTTTATTAAAGTTTCAAAGTTTAATATATTAGTTTTTATTATAGGTAAAAACTTCAGCTTTTAAATGTATTTAATTTATTTAAACAGGATTATTTTAAATGAGGATTTTGTTTTATTTAATGTAATCATAATAAGCATTCATTGAACTAGGGACATTAGGAGTTCTTTATATCTAGATCTATTTATTTATAGATTTATATCTATTCTTTATATCCTGCCCAAACCCTCAGTTGATGTATGTCCTTAAGCCCCCAAAGCTCTTTATATCAATATGATGTCATCAGTGACGTTTTATGCAAGGCTAAGTACAAAGATGTTTGTGTATGTTTGTGTGTGTGTGTATATATATATATATATATATATATATATATATATATATATATATATATATATATATATATATATATATATATATATATATATATATCAAGGGTTGAATTAAGAGATTGCAAAAAACAAAATTTTAGTTTATACAAGATCGTGTAAAAATCTTTGTTTTCATAGGGCAAAAAATAAATTTAATTTGTTAACGATAAAGTTATAAAAAGCAAAACAATTACAAAAGTAATAACATTATAGTCACTGTGTTATAAAAGTACTTTTATAATGCTTTTTTAACTTTTATAATTTGTTTGCTTAAATGACATAAGTAATCCTAAATTTTATTTAAAGTAGAAATTCATCAAAAAAAGATAAAATGGTTATTTAAATAACATTAAAAACTTCAGGATTTCATAAATTATAAATAGTTTAGCATTTCTAAACTGTTACTAATGGTCCAGAAAAATATGCAATAATTTTAAAATCAACCAATGAAAAGTTTTCATGATCTCCTTATTTAGTTGATGTATTTGCTGAGCCTCCAGCAGCTCAGAAAATAGTAAGAAAAAAAAGTTTTCTTGCTGTAAAAATGTAAATGCTTTTTCTGGGTTTCTAGTTAAATTTTGTGATATTTAAAAAAAAATTCTATATATGGACATCTTTTTGGAAACAATTATTTAAACTATGAAAAAAAGAAAATTGCATAATTTAAAGTATAAAAATGGTGTCATTTTAGAAAGATTGTTGCATTTTTTTAAAACAAAAATGATCTGTATAATATTTGATTTGTTTAAATACCTTTAATAGCCTTTACAAACCTAGATCTAATTACTTATTATTTATGTTATTTATTAATTTATTATCAAAGGTTTGCTAAAGAAAAGAAACTGCGTATTTGGAAAGACTACAAACCATCTACAACTTTGTTAGCCATTAAAGACAAAGAATTCCACGGAAAAGTAATTATTATTATTAATAAGTATATTTAATGGGTTTTTAATAAGCTTTAGGAATAGTTATTTGTTTAATAAGAAAGCTTTTCATTTAATTATGTTTTTTTTTTAAATTGTTTTTAGGTTGTAGAAATAGTTAATGGTGATGCAATTGTTGTCAAGGTTTCAGGTAATGAACTGAAAAAAGTGTTTTTTAGCAGCTTACGCCCACCGCGTGCTCAACCAAAAGATGATGGTGTTGTTGAAAATGGACCTTCTAGAGATGGTAAGCGAGGCAGACCTTTATATGATATCCCATACATGTTTGAGGCTAGAGAGTTCTTACGTAAGAAGTTAATTGGGAAGAAAGTTAACGTTATTGTTGACTATATAAAACCTCCTGGTGATGGCTACCCTGAACGACTTTGTGCAACTGTGAAAATTGGTGACATTAATATTGCAGAAGCTATGATCAGCAAAGGTTTAGCTGGTGTTTTGCGCCACCGCCAAGATGATGATCAGCGATCTTCTTTGTATGATGATTTACTTGCAGCAGAGAGTAGAGCAGCAAAAAATGGAAAAGGTATACATAGTAAAAAAGAACCACCATCACATCGGATTGCTGATTTATCTGGTGATGTGAGCAAGTCTAAGCAATTTTTGCCATTTTTACAAAGAGCTGGTAGGTCAGCAGCAGTTGTTGAGTTTGTAGCAAGTGGTTCAAGAATTCGACTGTATTTACCAAAAGAGACATGTTTGCTAACTTTTTTGCTGGCTGGAATATCTTGCCCTCGTGTTAAGACTTTTAATCCAGCAGGAACTCAGATTTCTGAAGATGAACCCATGGGAGCTGAAGCTTTTGCAATGAGCAAAGATATGATTCTACAGAGAGAGGTAGTTTATATTTACAGTTTTAAGTTTGCTGTTCACAGTTTATATGTATTTACATCTATCATATATACATATATGTTTGCATAAATATACATGTAAACATATATATCCATGATTACATCTTAACTTTACATATATGCTTCATTAATGCAGGTATTTCAGACCATAGATAGACTTACCAAATATAGAAAAATCAAGTCATGCAAACAAATTTTAAACAAAGCACATTAGTTTACTGCATAAGAATTTTTTATGCAGTAAAGTAATGTGTAAATAAAAACATTTGTTAAAGTCTATGTAGGCCTTATAACTCACACTGCCCACAAAAAAGAGATTAAAGGTTTAAATCCGCTCTACATTCTACTCTGCTCAACCTGTTTTGCTGCCAGGAGAGGGGAGGGGCTTGTTTAACAAGGTTTGTGGTTTAGAGTCGAGAGAGTGTTGCAAATGAAATAAAATATAAAATTCTTCCTTTAAGAGTCCATTTGACTGTAGCGGCTTGCTCTGTTACTTGTAACATAGAAACATCAATGGAAAAAGTATTGTGGTTTTAGAGAAAAGTTGAATATAAATTAGAATATGTTTTAAATATTTTGACGTCGTTTTTACAATCGTATATTTAAAGGTTTGCTATATTTAATTTAAACAACTTTTTAAAAAAAAAAAAAATTTTTTTCATCATTTGCTAAATTATCTTTAAAGAAATCATTTTAAACACTGAACACTTTTCTAACATTTTGTCATTACCAATGGTAATTTTATAAAAAATCTTTTACAATTACAATATGTTTGAAATATCTAAACGTTATTTAGGTATTCTAAAAGATATTTTTTAACAGCTAAAGGAGTAAGTGATGACCAGTGGTGACCCAGCAGCCTTTAGATGAGTGTAGCAACCACCTAAATTTGGTTGTCTAAATTTAGGTGGTAAAAAATGTCTAAATTTTTGTTATGAGTTATGTTTCTGAAAAAAAATTATTCAATTTGTTTATTTAACAGTAATAATAATAATTTACAGATAAAATTAAAGTTCTTCGAGTATATAGTTTAAATTGAAAAAAGCTTGACAAACAACAATAATAAAATGCCACAACAAATGATAATATAAAATTTTGTTTGTTATAAACACTGAGCAGATAAATTAGTAAACTCTGTGGATAAAGAATAAAGTAGAAAAAAAAATTAGCAAGACAGAATGGGAACATTAAATAAAATAATATGCAGTATTCAAACAGTGAAAAAAGAGAGGATACAAGTTAAAGTTAAATGCATATCAATTAAACAATAGAAAAATAAAGATTACACTAAGTCAGATACACTTACTATTCTACAAAATAATTGGTTAAGTAATTTACCTGATATAGCCGTCAAACATTTTGATCCATTGCTTGACATCCGTATCACTCCAGCTTCTCTATCTAAAGTGATTTCCTGCTTAGACTTTTCTACAGCGTGCGGCCCGGACAACATACCTGTTATAGTCTTACAGAAGTGTTCTCCAAAGCTGTCGTCTATACTTTTAAAACTATTTAACAAATGTTTATCAGAGTCTTGTTTTCCAGCCTGCTGGGTAGCAGCATCTGTTATCCCTATTTTCAAAAATTCTGGAGAGCGATCTGATTTGTATAACTACCATCCCATTAGTCTTCTTTCTATCATAAGCAAGGTTTTTGAATCTTTAATTAAGAAACACTTAATCTCTCATCTTAAATCTAATAACTTATTTTCTGATCATCGATATGGATTTCGATCTTCTCGTTCTACAGCCGATTTGCTAACAGTAATAACCGATAGGTTTTATTGTGCATTAAATAAAGGTGGAGAAGTTAAGGCTATCACTCTTGACATTTCTAAAGCGTTTGATAAAGTTTAGCATGCTGGTCTTCTCCATAAGCTTTCTTCTTACGGTGTATCAGGTAACATCTTTAAGATTATTAAATTCTTCCTTTCCAATCGTAGTATAAAGGTTGTCCTCAATGGACAGCACTCTTCTTCATATCCTGTAAGTTCAGGGGTTCTTCAAGGTTCAATCTTGGCCATATACTTTTTTTAATTTACATTAATGATCTTCCAGATATTCTCACATCTAAGGTGGCATTGTTTGCTGATGATACTACCATTTATTCTTGTCACGATAAAAAGCCAACTCCCTCTGATTGCTTGCAGGGGGCATTTGAGCTTGAAAAGGATCTCACTTCTGCTACAGCATTGGGCTCACAGTGGCTGGTGAACTTTAACACGTTCACGCCAGCATGTACCACTGGTGGTACACACTAGACTGTCTCATTGGGCAGCGTGTACCACCGGTGGTACACGCCGCCCAATGAGACAGTCTAGTGTGTACCACCGGTGGTACACGCCAGCGTGAACGTGTTAATCCAGATAAAACTCAATTTTTTTCAGCCAATCGTTATCGCAATAATTTAGACCTTCCTATGTTTATGAGTGGTAATGTACTCAATAAGTCATCTACCCTTCATCTTCTCGGATTAACTCTTACTTCTGATCTTTCTTGGAAACCTTATATTAAATCCGTTGCAAAATCTGCTAAAGTTGCATCTCTTTATCAAGCTCGACACTTTCTTACTCTGGATTCTATTTTCTATCTCTATAAATCTCAAATCCGGCCTGGTATGGAATACTGTTGCCATATCTGAGGCAGATCTTCTAATGATGCCCTTTCTCTTTTAGACAAGATGCAAAAATGCATTGTAAACATAGTTGTACCTGCTCTTGCAGCCATTCTTCAACCTTTGTCACATCGTCGTAATGTTGCTTCTCTTTCTCTTTTCTTCAAATACAATGGGTACTGCTCTAAAGAGCTAGCGTCTTTTGTGCCATCTACTAAAATTCATTCTCGTGTTACTTATCATTCAATTAAGTCTCATCCTTTTTTTGTTTCTGTTCCTAAGTGCTCCAAAAACTCTAATTTGTCTAGTTTTTTTCCCTCGAACATCAGTTCTTTGAAATTGGCTTCTTCCATCTTGCTTTCCTGATTCATATAATTTGCAATCTTTTAAGTTGTCTGTTAATCGTTATCTTGTTCTACAATCTTCATCTATTCTCTTCCAGTAACTTCCAACTCTAATTAGTGGCTGCTTGCAGCCTTGTTGGAAGCGAAGATAATTAAAAAATGAACAATAGAATGGTTTTGTTGCAAAAAAATGAATGAATAATAGAATGGTTTTGTTGCAAAAAAAAGTTGTTTTCTCATAAATTTACATTAAGCTAAAAATCATTTTCTGAAAAATTATTAAGTTCTGGCAGTATAACTATTTTCTGTTGAAATTTTTTTCAAGACAATTTTTGTGTGTGTGTGTCTTGAAGAATTTTTTCCTTGTTTTTTTGTTTTGTTTTTTTCTTATAGTAAAGATATTTACGACATGAAAAAAAAAATCAAATTTTAATTACCAAATTTTTAAAGATTTTAAAAAGATCAGCTAAAGAGTGTTAAAAAAAAAATTAAAAAAGTTTGTATCATAAGATTTTAATAATTCATAACCTTTTAATACAGTATATTAATGAATAGTAATATATCATATTTTTGTAAACAATGAACACAGACACATACTGCTTTAAAACAGTTAAAAGATTTTTATTTTTTACTACCCAAAAAATTTAAAAGGAATGATCTATATTTTTAGGTAGAAGTTGAATTTGAGAGTATTGATAAGGGAGGTAACTTTGTTGGATGGCTATTTATTGGAAATATTAATCTATCAGTTTATTTGGTTGAGAAGGGCTTAGCAAAGGTTCATTTTTCTGCTGAAAAATCCCCTTACTTCAAAGCACTACAAAATGCTGAGGAAATTGTCAAAGCTAATAGACAAGGAGTTTGGCAAGGATATGTTGAAGAAGTTCGTGAAAATAATACTATTGAAGAATCTACTGAGCGAAAACCCACATATAAAAAGGTATTTTATACAATTTTTAATACTATTTTTTTTATTTATTAAACAAAAGTTTAATGCTTTATATCATATATCTTAAACAATCTTAGTTTCTGTAAATGAATTAACAATAAATATAACTACAAATATAACTACAAATATAACTACAAAAATATAACTACAAATATATAACTACAAATATATAACTACAAAAGTAACATTTTTTCTATATTTTATTCTTTAAGTACTCTAACAATAAATAAAAATTTTTTTTATAAAGGTCATTGTAACAGAAATAATTCGTGGCACAGATTTCTGGGCTCAACACATTGACAATGGTAGTTAATGAAATTCTTTAAATAAAATATATGAGAACAAAATTTTTAACTTTTTGATAACTTTTTTTTTTGTTTTTTTAAGCGTAATTTTTTTTTAACTTATTTTTTAGCTAAAGCATTTGAGCAGATGCAACAACAACTGAGAACAGATTTAGTTGATAACCCTCCTTTACCTGGAGCATTAACTCCAAGAAAAGGAGAACTCGTTGCTTCTCTTTTCCTTGACGGGTTATGGTATGGAATTCTATTATTTGATTTCTATTGTAGCTCAATAAGTTATACTAGTTATGCAAACATATTAAACTCTGATCTCAATTTAAATGAAATGTATCATTTGAGTTCAACTGTTATTGAATAAGATGTTGACAACAAATGCATGATCACTTAATGTATTCTTGAAAAATAAATTCATTAAATTTAAGTTAAATGTTGTTTTGTTGATTAGAAGGTTTCTTAAACTCTTTTAAATAAATAACTTTTTGTAAATTTTAATGCAAATTTTTATAAGGAAAGTTTATTTTATTTTCTATAAAGTATTAGTTAACATAAATGTTAATTATGATAAAGTGTTAAAGATGGGTTGAGTTGATAAGTAGATTGGTGACAAAATAGTTACTGACTAGGTCTTAGCAAAATTTTTTATACTGTGCAATCTTGTGTTGCTTTTTAACTGCTTTGAAAGTTTTTATTAATTTGATTTATTAACTTAAAGTTACTTTAATTATACCAAATAAACTATATACTAAATAATACAAATTAATAAGAGATATTAAATTTTTATGATTTTAAAAAGGCATTAATAAAAAGTGAATAGTTTTTTTAAATAAACAACAACTTCATTACTTGGTTACATTCAATCTTGGTAGTAGCAACATAACTTCAGCAAAAATTATGCGTTTTATGTAATTAAGTAGACATTTAGGTATACCAAGGTAATTTTTAAGTAGGTTACTTATACTGTATTTTTAATTATTTATCAATAAGAAAAATTATTAGTTATTTGAGTTAAGCCCCTGTTGACCACTTATCTAAAGGTAATTGAGAGTATTGGTATTGAGAGTATGTGATAATACACAGATTGTGAACTTGTTGGCGTTTAAATAACCATGCATGTTGTCAGTTAAGAGAGCAATAAAATTTTGTCAATGAAAATTTTTGATTTTTAAAAGTATTTAGATAAATTTGATTAAGGAAAAAAGTATAAAACTTATGATAATATTTATGTTAAATAGGTACAGAGCACGAATTGAGAAAGTTGAATCTTCAGAAAAAGTTCATGTTTTATATGTGGATTACGGCAATGTAAGATAAGTTTTGTGACTTTTTTAAATACATTTTTAAAATTATTTCTTGAATCTCATGAAATTTGTTTTCAGCGTGAAATCATTCAATCTACAAAATTGGCTTCATTACCTTCAAATTACGCTAGGTAATTTTATAGTTTGTTTTTCTAACTTTTTTTTTTTTTTTTTTTTTTTTTTTTTTTTTTTTTTTTTACATTAACATTTTACTTTCAGCTTTCCTCCTCAAGCTCGTGAATACACCCTTGCTTGTTTAAAAGTACCACAAGATGTAAGTTTTTTTTTTTTAATTAAAATACAGAAGCATTAAAGGAATATAAAACCGTTTTTCACAAATTGTTATATGGAAATTAATGGTTTTTATAGAAATTAGTTTAGAAAGTGATGTTTAGTTAGGGATAGTTATTTTTATAAGTCTAGTTTTAGTTAAAGGTTAGTTATATTTATTAAAGTTTTTCAGGGTTCCACTGTGAAGTTCGATGACATTTATTGGAATGAATTATTTTCCAGAATCAATAATAATTGTTTGATAGAATTTCAAACGCTTCATTCATATCAAAGGTTAAAGAGATTGCTTTAATATTTAGGAGGACAATATCGAAGATCTCACCCGAGCATTTGCTAAGGAAGCCTTGGTAAGGTCATTCAGTATTTGTTAAAACTTATTTAATTAACAACTGTCAGCCTTATGCAAAATTTTGCATAAATAATGTTCACATATTTACTTCTAAAACAATAGACATATTACTAATACTAAATAACGTTAAAATTACTGGAACAAAGTTTTAAAAAATTGCAAATTCTATATAATTTATACAAAACTTTGCATAAATAATGCAGAAAATTTTACTACTGGGACAATAGACTAATTACTAAAACTAGTATAATGTTGAAATTTTTGAAACAAGGTTTTAAAAAGTTTTGAAGTATTATTTATACATTGTATAAGATTGATCTTATAACGATCTGTCAGGACCTGGTTTTTTGATGTTTTTCTATTTGTGACATTTTTGTTTTAATGTATACTGATAATATATGTCAATATAATTACAGTAAATTTCCGATACAACATAGTTATAGCAGATTTTCGAAGCATCTAATAAAAAACGTTTTATTTTGAATTTTGGTTATTAAAAATGTAGAAGTCTTTCGCAATAGGTTGCTATATATATATATATATATATATATATATATATATATATATATATATATATATATATATATATATATATATATATATATATATATATACTTATTTGTAGTGTAACTTTTTTAGAACAAAGAATTTTCACTTAACATTGAATACAGAGTTAATGGCCAAGAATTTGTATCATTAACCAATGTTGATAGTAAACAAGACTTAGCTTGTGTATTGCTTGCATATGGCGTTGTGTTAGTTGAAAATCGTCGAGAGAAGCGATTAAATAAGCTTGTTCACGATTATAATCTTGCTCAAGATATCGCTCGGAAAGCTAGGGTAAGTTGATTTTTTTAACGACATATAGTTAAAGTCACTTTAAGTGAGTTATTTGAATTTACTTTTTTTTTTTTTCGCGTTTACAGTTAAATCTTTGGCGTTACGGTGATTTCACTGAAGACGATGCTCCAGAATTCGGTGGTTAGCATAGTTTTTGTTACATATATCGGACTCAGTTTAAAAAAAATCAATAGTATGTGAACTCATTTTAAAATTAATAAATAAATCGAATTACTTGATGGTTTAGTTGCTTAAATTGTTTTGAAGAAGTGCAAAGTTTATTATTTTTAGATTTTTATATAGTTTTTTTAGAGGGTTTATATAAAGATATATGGTTATTTATTTTATAAGTAGCATTTAAACGCATAAATATATTCGTATAAGGGAGTAATATGAATATGCATAGTTTTTAATATTTATCTGCATATTTAGTTTTACGCTTTAAATAATATTCAGCAATTGCATAAGTTTTTCTTTTGTATACTTTTTTTATAGTTACAAAATTAGAACGAAAATTTGTGCGAAATGCAACATCCATATTAGCTTGGTTTTTTATACAAGGGAAGAAAATAAGTTTAGAAAAAATCTCGTCTGACATGAGTTATCTTATATAAGTTGTTTAACAATTTTTCATGAGATAAATTTTGAGTTCGCGTATTTGCGTTTTTTTGTGCTAATAATTTTTATTTTCTGAACTATTATTTAGTTTACATTAAGAAAGTAGATTTAGATTTCTACTTTTTTATATATCTTTTTACTTTTCCTCGTGGACGACAGGGCTCGTAATGGACCTGGCAAGAAAATTGGGTATTTTGGTATAATTGGCTAAACTCATTGGAAAAGCTGGAATAGTCAAGGGATGTTTTTTAGAAATCAGTCAAGAAATTCTTATTTCAAACTATATCAACTATTTCAATGAAGAACTTGAAAGTAAAAATTCCTTAACAAAACCCATGAAACAACAATCTTTGAAACTCTTTGTATCAACATCAAATGAAGGAAAAGTTGCAAAAGTTATGAGGGTATTGCATTGCTGCTTGAGTTCATATTCTAACAATTTGAACAGTGACGCAACTTATTTATTCCAAGCTATGTTTACTGACAGTAAGATTGCAATGAGATTATAACCCCTTGCCAAATGCCTCATTTCAAACCTTTCAAACATTTCAAATCCAGCCATTATTTTTATTTTCTTATATTTAGATAAAAAACGTAATGTAAAAAAATTTTTAATTAAAAAAAAAAAAATAATTGCTGACTCAGCAAAAAAATGTAAAAATGTTAACGTCCCAAAAACATAAATATCTTAATATCACATCAATACTGAAGTTAAAATTTTGCAAATTGCTAGTATATTAGTGCCTGAACCAAAACTTGTGCCTAAACCAAAGATTTAAACGATCAAAAACAGCAGACTAAATAGTATAAAAAACTATTTTTAGCGATGAAACACTCATAATGGCTAGATGCCATCTTAGAGAGCAATTAAATCGGTCCCTTCAGCTTGTGGTGTCCTTTGATGAATCTTTCGTCAAGAAAACTAAAACTTTTAGAATGGACTTCCTAAATTGGAATGCAAACATTCTATAACGGAATTTTAGTAGACCTATTTAAGCAATTGGAGTGATCTACTAGTTTTCCTCAAAGTTTTATGAATCTACTACTTGTTTGAACCTTATCTTTTGCTTCCCCGTTTAGCTATTGGTTTGTTACGTTCTAAAAGAACAGCAAGGAATTTATAACGTCGCTCCAGGATTTTATTTTGTGTTGTAGTTTTTTTAACGGATTTAAGGACAAACAGCTATATTTTAAATATAAGAATACAAAATACCTTTTTGTAAATCCGGCAAAAATACTTCATAATTCTAATTAATTAATAGCCGTTTCAAAAACATAACATAAAAAAGTAAATATAGTAATGAACAAATTATTAGAAATCAGAGGTGAAAACGTTGTTTTTTAAATTAACTGACCCTGAAAATCAGGGATCCAGTGTAAAGACTACAAATTTTAATCTGGTATCCGTTATGCATTCAGTTTTGTCTTAAATTTTGTTTTGGAAACCTAAAATTTGATATTTTTTTAGAAAACTTGCTTTTTCTAGACTATTCGATGGGGAAAAAGAGTGATCTGAGCCCCAGAAAAAAGGGAAAAATTCAAGTTTTACTAAACAATACAGAAATGAGCCAGAAGGAAGTAGCAGAAATATTGAAAGTATCAATCTCATCTGCGTGCAGAATAAAGAAAGCACTTGATAAAGGCAAGGGCCTTGAGACAAAGAGGATTGAAAAATGTGAGAAAAAAGAAGCCGTAAGAGAAAAACAACTCTACGAACAGGCAGGAAAATTGTAAAGTTGTGCCAATCTGAAAGAAGAGCTTCTTGTAGAAAAACTGCTTCTATTTTGAAAGAGGAAGGTGTGAAGACAACTCGGATGACTGGTAATCGAAGATTGATCGAAGCTGGGCTTCTTGCTTACCGCTTAAGAAAAAAATTTTGGCTTACTGAGAAAATGAAGCAAGTACGTAAGGAATGGCCTCTGGCGCATAAAGACTGGGGAAATGAGGACTGGTCAAAAGTCATTTTTTCAGATGAGTCTACCATCCAAGTATTAGATGACAGAGTTCAGACTGTAAGAAGACGACCAGGAGAGGAACTCAGAAAAGATTGCCTCCATCAGACAATAAAATTTCCCACGAAGACCATGGTATAGCAGTTTTAAATCTCATATGTGGTTTCTGAACAAAAATTTCTAATAATTTGTTCACTACTGTATAAATTAACTCGAAATCATTAAATAGAGTAAAACAGGGTAAAATGATATAGCGGGTAGAATGAAATGACTATGTTTATTCTTTTGCTTTTAATTAATTATTGGATAATCCTTTTGCAAATACTTTTAAATCACGTTGTAGAGAATACTTTTCTGAGTAAGATGATATCAAATTTTATTTTTGATGAAAAAAAATTTGTTATAAATTTTTAAGTTTTCGTATGCGTATTAAGATTTTTTATATTACTTTAAAAAAATGAATTTAAAATTCTCGAAAGTTAAATTTGATATCATTGGACTTAAAAAGTTTTCTGGTATAACTTTTTAGGCCGATCAAGAATCTTTTTTCAAAATTAAATTTGCTATTTAGGAAAAAAAGTTATGAGTAAAAAACAGAAAAGGAGAATTGTATGGTTGAATGAAATGCGCTAATAATAAGTGAAGCACACTTCTTAAACTCGGCTTTTTTTTATTAAATCAAGTGACCGAAAAATCTCCAACTATAAACTTTTTGTATTGAAAAAAAATTTTTTAATAAAATTTTTCTAAATTTAAATGAATGACTTTTACTGACTGCTTTTATTAAATGATTCTAACGAATGAATGAAATACGCTAGTGAATGAATGAAATAAGTTACTCTCTTGTTAAATGCGGTTTTTATAAATAAATTAAGTCTCAAGTGACAAAGTTATCTTTATAAATTTTGTGCATAAATTTCAAATGGATTATTGTTAAATCTATTTTGATATAAAATATGCCACTGCCCTCTGAATCTCCACCAACATCTAGCATCAGCGTATGTCACATTGCACCAGCTCCAAAGTCAGAGCTGGAGACTCGAGTCAACGGACTCGAACTCGAGTCCGACTTAAGTCACACCAGTGACTCGACTCGAGACTCGACTTGGGTTTTACCCTGAGACTTGCGACTTGACTCGAGACTTGCTAATTTCGGCTTAGCGACTTTAAAATTATTATTTTCGTCTCTTCAAAAATGGAGCAATTTATCTTCTATTTTAATTCAACTGTTTTTTAACTATTTTTTATTTTCGAATGTTTTTATTTTAACTTACGTTTAACTGGTTTGTAGTCTAAGCGAGATCCGAAGAAAAATATCGCATTTAGGCTCTTTCGTTTTCAAAAAATTCCAACTTTTTTGTGTGCGTTCTGATTGGTTCATTTTTTCTTTAACTCATGAAATTTATTGTTTATAAATGTTCGGTGATTTTAATTTCTTATTTAAATTTTTTTTAATTCTTTCTTTTTCTTTCCTTAACAATCTTCATTTTTCTCTTATTTATTTTTACTTTCAAATTATCTTTTATTATTATTTTTTTTTCATGTGATTTATTTATAAAATTCATTATAAAAAAGCGTCCGCCATTCCGGAAGTCTTTGCACATTATGACTCCTTAGCTATTTTATTACAGATGGTTTATTTTACTTTTAAAGCTACTTTAATAAATAAAGTAAAATTATAACTATTATCATGCTGTATTTTATAATTGTAAGGTAACTGTTTGAATGTAGCTACTAGAGTCATCGCAAGGTTCCCCCATGCCCCTCGTGTAGGAGGAATTTCGTGTCTTTTATGACAGGTTTTGGAAGGGGCCTCCGAACTCCTAGCCGCGTCACTGATAGCCACCACATGCACGGGAATCTTTTATTGTAACATGACTTGACTTGAGACTTGACTTGACATGTCACTATATGACTTGAGACTTGACTTGAGACTTGACCTCACTGACTTGAGACTTGACTTGAGATTTGAAAACAGCTCTGTTCAAAGTTACCTCAAAAGTCACCCTGTCTGCAAACAACCTTCAATGTTGTAGTAACTCTGGCGATTCGAAAGGAAATTCAAAAAGAGGTTGAAAAACAACTGCAATCAGCCCAATCCCTCGCATCAGCATTGCAACAAATGTTTCGTATTCAACACGTTAGCACAATAGTCAAGCACATTAGCACAATAATCAGGCACACAGAGGAGGAAAAAGTAAAGAAAAAATTATACTCAAGTAAAAGTACTGTTACTTAACTGAAATTTTACTCAAGTACAAGTAAAAGTTACCGGTCGAAAAATAAATTCAAAAGTAGCTAATTAAAAATGTACTTAAAGTAAAAGTTACTGCGTTACTTTTTTAACAGCCTGTCAGATTCACGAAGTCTATTCTTTTCTGTATAAATTTTTTTTTTTTTACACAGAAAATTTTTTTATGGTCGTAAAAAATGAAAAGAAACCAAGCTAAAGCAGTTAAAAGTCGTTATGAGCACGCTCAGCATTTTTTTTTTTAAACAATTTAATAGTGTCATTTTTATTAAAGTGAGCAATACTCAAAAAAACAAAAAAATTTAATAATAGTATTTATGAAATTAAACAATATATAATTATTTTTTTTACCCAGTAACGCATATGATTTCAAATGTAGCGAAGTGCAATACTTTGGAAAAAAATACTTAAGTAAAGT